GGGGGGGGAGGAAGCAAGTCTTCTTGCCATTTTTCTGGCAAAAAGTAAAAGTCTGAAAGAGAGAGAGAAATAAACTGAAAAAATAAGCGAAAAAGCCATATCATCATGCAATGCAGTTTGTTCTTTCTTCCATTGACAGAGAGCCAACCACGTGACCTGTAAATAACTGTCTACAAATAATGGTCTGCTCGTGCGAAGTACCATCTAATTAAATGAGTTTTGCTGCAAATAATCTTCTGCTCATGCGTAATTGAAACCACGCTCTTGTGTAAAAAATGGTAGTTTGCTTCCCTGAGCTGCCAGAGAGTGATTTAAAAATGAAAACAAACATGGTGATCGAATAACAAAACAATTATTGAACTTGGTTATTGCAAAATGTCTCGCAGATCAATTATTTGCCTCAGCTTTCGGCTTTGGCAAATAATTGATCTGCTCGCCACTGGCAAATCACGATATTTTGCTCAACCTCGTCCAATATAATTGTTAATTATTGGACAACTTACATGCCATCTTGAAAGCCACCGTGGTATTCGCTCGCAAAGTAGCTTGGGAAGGTATAAATGGCGTCCGGGTCATCCATTCTGTTTTGAAAAACAAATCAAATTTATTAACGTGCACAAGAAGACACGGCAAAAAGAATAAGGTGGTATCCCTTTGAAAATAGGTGATATGTTGCAATAGCTTTCTGTCTCTAATGTTGGACCTCATCTTCTCTTGACCTTATATATTATATTAAACACCAAAGGCTAGCAAAAATGATTAACAGCGCAGTATGTTGCAACATAACAACACGTACTGATTAAGGACACGATCTATTTTGTAAACAGCTACTGCAAAAAAACGCCTTTGGTCCCATCTAGAAAAAGCTATGTTATTAGCCTTTTTCTTGAAAATAGCTTGGCAAATTTGTGAGTGATAGTTTGGTGTATTTCATGATCTTTTCACAGTTAACGGCAAAAAAAAAAAAAAAATTTTGCTGATCGAATAAGATGCTCTTGTGAATAACGGAGAAGAGAGGAGGAACCATGAAGGGAAGAAAAGGCAATCTCCCATTTAGGAGGCTCTCAATAGGGTGGTGAATTTTACGGCTAACGGTTAAACTATTTTAGCTTTAGACGGCTAACGGTTAATTTATTTTACTTACGGTTCACAGAAATCTTGGAAACTAATTACCATTGTTTTGACAAGTCTTGACAATAGATCTTGGGACTTTCACTTTCGTGGCTAAAAAATGTTTCACGGTAATTCTTTTATTACGGATAACGGTCGAAATTTTCCGGTGTTTTCGCCAAACGGCTAAATTTTTGGCCCGTTATACGGCGAACAGTTAACCAAACTGAGACCCTCATACAAAAATAGTTTTCAGTCATAATTCATCTATCACAACAAGTTTGGGTTCCCTAATTGGATGTTTTAGAAATGAAAAAACATTTTTGCGTATCTTTTCCCCTACCTTCCATTCAGTTCACATCCCTCGTAACTTGTGCCCATACACTGCATTTTTCTGATTTTGATTTCCAACAGACCAAAAATATAACCAAGACAAGTTTAATCGTTATTCATAGTTCATAAATTCTCTGTTATGTCATAACGACTTCATCTGCCGTAATTAAGTTCTATGCGCGCGCTAAAGCAAAAGGAACGACATTCTAAAGGGAAAAAAAAATGGAATTTCTTATTCTGAGCTCGGCTTTCAGTAACTTTATCGAATAAACTCGGGCTGTGCGGCAAAATTGAGTGCTTATTCTCCTATGAGACTTCTTTCACCACTGCTCGTCAGCATTAACTCGCGTGTCTTTTAACAAAGCGTGTTACGTCTCGTTCACATCGACTAAACTACAATAGTTTACATGTAACTAAATCAGATTTAAATAAGATTGCTAATTTGCCAATTAAGCTTTGCAGTCATTTTAAGAGGACAAATTTCAAACCACTTTGCTAACATTTTTGTCTTGTTAAGTTGTGGGGTTTGCACGGTATGTACGAGCAACTAGATTTCAACCTTATTTTGTTAAAACAATTTTAATCAGGTTTAACATGGGGTATAAAAATGTCCTTTTAGAAAGTTTACGCTTAATCCGGTATTTTTANTGCCCATACACTGCATTTTTCTGATTTTGATTTCCAACAGACCAAAAATATAACCAAGACAAGTTTAATCGTTATTCATAGTTCATAAATTCTCTGTTATGTCATAACGACTTCATCTGCTGTAATTAAGTTCTCTGCGCGCGCTAAAGCAAAAGGAACGACATTCTAAAGGGAAAAAAAAAAAATGAAATTTCTTATTCTGAGCTCGGCTTTCAGTAACTTTATTGAATAAACTCGGGCTGTGCGGTAAAACTGAGTGCTTATTCTCCTATGAGACTTCTTTCACCACTGCTCGTCAGCATTAACTTGAGTGTTTTTTAACAAAGCGTGTTACGTCTCATTCACATCGACTAAACTACAATAGTTTACATGTAACTAAATCAGATTTAAATAAGTTTGCTAATTTGCTAATTAAGCTTTGCAGTCATTTTAAGAAGACAAATTTCAAACCCCTTTGCTAACATTTTTATCTTGTTAAATTGTCGGGTTTGCACGGTATATACGAGCAACTAGATTTTAACCTTGTTTTGTTGAAACACTTTTAATCAGGTTTAACATGGGGTATAAAAATGTCCTTTTAGAAAGTTTACGCTTAATCCGGTATTTTTAATTTTTCTTTTTAAAACTCGATCGATAGAAAATATTTAGGGCGTTTTCTTAGAGTCTTGTGAAATTAAATATTACAAGACCACATTATTTTTAGATTAGATCTTGACAATATATTGTTGACAATTGTTTTGCAATTATGGTCGACTACACGAGGGTTTCTTTAATATTCACACTAAGCAGTTATGAAGTCACACCATTTATTTCACTCAATTCATTTCGTTTTTCGCTCTACACGTTTCAAATATAAGATCTACGAAACGCATAATTTATCTGGATTATGATTTAGGCCAGATGTATTTTAAAAAAACACGACCATTTTTAAAGTAATTATGGTCAAATCAATTAGCTATGTAAAGTCGGTTTGCATCAAGAGCAAAGTGTAACACCCTCAGGCTAATTTAATTTAAAACTTAATAAAGATCCAGGGGGGTATACGTATTCCTAGAAAAAATAGATGGGGGTGTGCGGCCCGCTTCGCAAAACGCTTACCCTATTTACAACCAAAATCTGAGATTTTCCCTACCCTATTTATGACCTGACCAAAAATTCGATAGCCTGTTTAGGACCTGACCTTTCAATCAAACACTATTTCAGACCTCCCTTATG